TGTCGTTTTTTTTGGGTCGAAATTTTGAATTTCGATATCTCAGCTCTGGAAGGGTCTAGAGCCTCCATTTTTGCACTCAGGTCAAAGTCTCGCGCCCTCTATCAGAATCCAGAGTTTTGAGAAGATTGGAGAAACTTCATTTTTCGCCCAAAAATGAAAAAAAACGAAAGGGGTAACACTGTCGTTTTTTTTTCGGGTCGAAATTTTGAATTTCGATATCTCAGCTCTGGAAGGGTCTAGAGCCTCCATTTTTGCACTCAGGTCAAAGTCTCGCGCCCCTCTATCAGAATCCAGAGTTTTGAGAAGATTGGAGAAACTTCATTTTTCGCCCAAAAAAAAAAAAAAACGAAGGGGTAACACTGTCGTTTTTTTTTTCGGGTCGAAATTTTGAATTTCGATATCTCAGCTCTGGAAGGGTCTAGAGCCTCCATTTTTGCACTCAGGTCAAAGTCTCGCGCCCCTCTATCAGAATCCAGAGTTTTGAGAAGATTGGAGAAACTTCATTTTTCGCCCAAAAATGAAAAAAAAACGAAAGGGGTAACACTGTCGTTTTTTTTTTCGGGTCGAAATTTTGAATTTCGATATCTCAGCTCTGGAAGGGTCTAGAGCCTCCATTTTTGCACTCAGGTCAAAGTCTCGCGGCCCTCTATCAGAATCCAGAGTTTTGAGAAGATTGGAGAAACTTAATTTTTCGCCCAAAAATGAAAAAAAACGAAAGGGGTAACACTGTCGTTTTTTTTTTCGGGTCGAAATTTTGAATTTCGATATCTCAGCTCTGGAAGGGTCTAGAGCCTCCATTTTTGCACTCAGGTCAAAGTCTCGCGCCCCTCTATCAGAATCCAGAGTTTTGAGAAGATTGGAGAAACTTCATTTTTCGCCCAAAAATGAAAAAAAACGAAAGGGGTAACACTGTCGTTTTTTTTTCGGGTCGAAATTTTGAATTTCGATATCTCAGCTCTGGAAGGGTCTAGAGCCTCCATTTTTGCACTCAGGTCAAAGTCTCGCGCCCCTCTATCAGAATCCAGAGTTTTGAGAAGATTGGAGAAACTTCATTTTTCGCCCAAAAATGAAAAAAAACGAAAGGGGTAACACTGTCGTTTTTTTTTCGGGTCGAAATTTTGAATTTCGATATCTCAGCTCTGGAAGGGTCTAGAGCCTCCATTTTTGCACTCAGGTCAAAGTCTCGCGGCCCTCTATCAGAATCCAGAGTTTTGAGAAGATTGGAGAAACTTCATTTTTCGCCCGAAAATGAAAAAAAAACGAAAGGGGTAACACTGTCGTTTTTTTTTCGGGTCGAAATTTTGAATTTCGATATCTCAGCTCTGGAAGGGTCTAGAGCCTCCATTTTTGCACTCAGGTCAAAGTCTCGCGCCCCTCTATCAGAATCCAGAGTTTTGAGAAGATTGGAGAAACTTCATTTTTCGCCCAAAAATGAAAAAAAAACGAAAGGGGTAACACTGTCGTTTTTTTTTCGGGTCGAAATTTTGAATTTCGATATCTCAGCTCTGGAAGGGTCTAGAGCCTCCATTTTTGCACTCAGGTCAAAGTCTCGCGCCCTCTATCAGAATCCAGAGTTTTGAGAAGATTGGAGAAACTTCATTTTTCGCCCAAAATGAAAAAAAACGAAAGGGGTAACACTGTCGTTTTTTTTTCGGGTCGAAATTTTGAATTTCGATATCTCAGCTCTGGAAGGGTCTAGAGCCTCCATTTTTGCACTCAGGTCAAAGTCTCGCGCCCCTCTATCAGAATCCAGAGTTTTGAGAAGATTGGAGAAACTTCATTTTTCGCCCAAAAATGAAAAAAAACGAAAGGGGTAACACTGTCGTTTTTTTTTCGGGTCGAAATTTTGAATTTCGATATCTCAGCTCTGGAAGGGTCTAGAGCCTCCATTTTTGCACTCAGGTCAAAGTCTCGCGCCCCTCTATCAGAATCCAGAGTTTTGAGAAGATTGGAGAAACTTCATTTTTCGCCCAAAAATGAAAAAAAACGAAAGGGGTAACACTGTCGTTTTTTTTTCGGGTCGAAATTTTGAATTTCGATATCTCAGCTCTGGAAGGGTCTAGAGCCTCCATTTTTGCACTCAGGTCAAAGTCTCGCGCCCCTCTATCAGAATCCAGAGTTTTGAGAAGATTGGAGAAACTTCATTTTTCGCCCAAAAATGAAAAAAAACGAAAGGGGTAACACTGTCGTTTTTTTTTCGGGTCGAAATTTTGAATTTCGATATCTCAGCTCTGGAAGGGTCTAGAGCCTCCATTTTTGCACTCAGGTCAAAGTCTCGCGCCCTCTATCAGAATCCAGAGTTTTGAGAAGATTGGAGAAACTTCATTTTTCGCCCAAAAATGAAAAAAAACGAAAGGGGTAACACTGTCGTTTTTTTTTCGGGTCGAAATTTTGAATTTCGATATCTCAGCTCTGGAAGGGTCTAGAGCCTCCATTTTTGCACTCAGGTCAAAGTCTCGCGCCCCTCTATCAGAATCCAGAGTTTTGAGAAGATTGGAGAAACTTCATTTTTCGCCCAAAAATGAAAAAAAACGAAAGGGGTAACACTGTCGTTTTTTTTTCGGGTCGAAATTTTGAATTTCGATATCTCAGCTCTGGAAGGGTCTAGAGCCTCCATTTTTGCACTCAGGTCAAAGTCTCGCGCCCCTCTATCAGAATCCAGAGTTTTGAGAAGATTGGAGAAACTTCATTTTTCGCCCAAAAATGAAAAAAAAACGAAAGGGGTAACACTGTCGTTTTTTTTTCGGGTCGAAATTTTGAATTTCGATATCTCAGCTCTGGAAGGGTCTAGAGCCTCCATTTTTGCACTCAGGTCAAAGTCTCGCGCCCCTCTATCAGAATCCAGAGTTTTGAGAAGATTGGAGAAACTTCATTTTTCGCCCAAAAATGAAAAAAAACGAAAGGGGTAACACTGTCGTTTTTTTTTCGGGTCGAAATTTTGAATTTCGATATCTCAGCTCTGGAAGGGTCTAGAGCCTCCATTTTTGCACTCAGGTCAAAGTCTCGCGCCCCTCTATCAGAATCCAGAGTTTTGAGAAGATTGGAGAAACTTCATTTTTCGCCCAAAAATGAAAAAAAACGAAAGGGGTAACACTGTCGTTTTTTTTTCGGGTCGAAATTTTGAATTTCGATATCTCAGCTCTGGAAGGGTCTAGAGCCTCCATTTTTGCACTCAGGTCAAAGTCTCGCGCCCCTCTATCAGAATCCAGAGTTTTGAGAAGATTGGAGAAACTTCATTTTTCGCCCAAAAATGAAAAAAAACGAAAGGGGTAACACTGTCGTTTTTTTTTCGGGTCGAAATTTTGAATTTCGATATCTCAGCTCTGGAAGGGTCTAGAGCCTCCATTTTTGCACTCAGGTCAAAGTCTCGCGCCCCTCTATCAGAATCCAGAGTTTTGAGAAGATTGGAGAAACTTCATTTTTCGCCCAAAAATGAAAAAAAACGAAAGGGGTAACACTGTCGTTTTTTTTTCGGGTCGAAATTTTGAATTTCGATATCTCAGCTCTGGAAGGGTCTAGAGCCTCCATTTTTGCACTCAGGTCAAAGTCTCGCGCCCCTCTATCAGAATCCAGAGTTTTGAGAAGATTGGAGAAACTTCATTTTTCGCCCAAAAATGAAAAAAAACGAAAGGGGTAACACTGTCGTTTTTTTTTCGGGTCGAAATTTTGAATTTCGATATCTCAGCTCTGGAAGGGTCTAGAGCCTCCATTTTTGCACTCAGGTCAAAGTCTCGCGCCCCTCTATCAGAATCCAGAGTTTTGAGAAGATTGGAGAAACTTCATTTTTCGCCCAAAAATGAAAAAAAACGAAAGGGGTAACACTGTCGTTTTTTTTTCGGGTCGAAATTTTGAATTTCGATATCTCAGCTCTGGAAGGGTCTAGAGCCTCCATTTTTGCACTCAGGTCAAAGTCTCGCGCCCTCTATCAGAATCCAGAGTTTTGAGAAGATTGGAGAAACTTCATTTTTCGCCCAAAAATGAAAAAAAAACGAAAGGGGTAACACTGTCGTTTTTTTTTCGGGTCGAAATTTTGAATTTCGATATCTCAGCTCTGGAAGGGTCTAGAGCCTC